ATCTCTAAAAATAGCTCTGCTATGCTAAAATAAAAAACAAACAAATTAATTTATGAAATATATAATTATTATATAAATAATTATCTATTTAGAAAATAAAAAAAGAACGAAGAATCGGTTAACAACAACGGTGACAACTATTATTGTTTATCACAGATTTGGATGACACTCACAATAACTGAAGATCTTGTAATTGTTGTGTGATAGTTTTCAACTGCAGAATCAAAAAGAAAGCTGGAAAAGTAATTTTAAAATTCCATAAGCAATTTGAGCGTTCTATCTTATCAGCAACGGTCTCCGGAGAGTTTATTTTTTTGGCTCTATTATCACTTCCCTAAATAAATTAAATTTAGTAACATTTTATCAAATAGAATAATGATGCTTTTTTATTTTTGCTTAATACTTGCTCGCTAATGTTTTCAAAATATAAATGACGGCACTAAAATTTATTTCATAGATGCAATTTGTGCTATATTCGATTGAAAAAAAGAACTCCATAATGCGAAAACGTCTAACCTGCTACACACAACTAGCTTCAATTCTAATTTTAATTCTTGTTTCTACTAATAAGTATAACGTGTATATTTAAGTATTTCTAAAGGGCCCAGAAAAAAAAACAGAGCCAGATTCCCACTTGTTTAAATTTTGTGTCTTTAGGACGACGTTTTTAACTCATTTCTGTTTATCATTAGATGCTTAAGCATTAATAACACATCCAGTTATATGCGACACGGAAGTGGTGAGATGAATTGAGCGTGATTTTCCTTGCCTTGATTTTCATATATCTGCGGCACCTGATACCTTCAAGAATGGTGTCTGAGATTCGAAATTAATTTGAGATCGTCCCCTTGAAAGCAGCTGTTGTACAGAACAGGTTTCTGGGTTTTTCTATACTCGTTTCATTTATTACTATTGCAACATCGACTACTCTCTAGGCCAACTTCGATTAAAAATATATTACCGAAAACAGGTTGCTGATAACTATATTTTGAACACAGATATCATAGGGACTCAAAAGGAGTATTTTGTTGGCATGAAAAATATTTAAGCCTTCAAAAAATGCCAATGGCTTCATAATCAACTTTTGCTATATTAATTGGACATCTTTCCCATAATTTTGCGAAAAGACAAAAGAATTGTTTAAGAGAAACAGTGATCAAAAAGCAACAACAATAGCGCAGAAAACACATAACATAATGCATAAAAAATTATTTGTCCTGATGGTCATTGCAAAAAAAATTTTTTGAGCTTATGGTTTAACTTTGATTTTGTCTTGAATTATTGGTTATTACTTAAATATATTTAAGTTCTTATATTAAACAAATTTACGCTAGTTAATAAGAATGCTATAATTAAATAAATCTCACACTTGAATGATCAATGTTTGTCAGTTTCGTCACTTGAATTTTATATCTCTTTATAAGATATGTACTACCACAAACCTACGATTTTTGTAAATACTTTTTCGGATGGTATGACAACATTTTCTCAAGATAAAAGGGCTTTTAATCAGAAGCCAAAATCAGGCACACTCATTGGATTTAGATTTAAAACCCATTTAATTTTAAGTTTACTTATAATTTTCTGGCCTTGGATTTTCTATTACAGATAATGCTTTATATACTCGATTGGAAATGCATTTCGATGGAGTCCCTGAAAGGGATCTGGTTAAAAAGCCACCATTATCACAGAATCGTAATTTTCTTTTCCATTAAGTTTTCCCACTTTTGGTGGTTTCGCGTAGGTTTTAACTACTTATTTATTCTTTCATGTTGTGCATTCGTCTGGAAAAATCTCATTTCGAGAAGAAGCTTCTGGCGTAAAGCAAATGGAAAGTACGCGGGGTTTTGCTATAATTTTTTATATTGACGTAGTTTTCTGTAACTGAAGGGAGCAACATTGATTGACGGACTACATTTCTTGGTCGTCGCGATTTTAATAAAGATCCGTAAAATATACCGTACACAAAGACAAAATTAACCTGAAATTTAATTAATCCCAGCACGTCAAACTAATCTCTCGTAGCGATAACTTCCTCTCTAAAATCCAGCACTTAGAAAGCGGCACAGGCCTTTTAGCAACTGGGATCGTTTTACAGGATAACTTGTGCGAAGTTTTAAGAAATAATATTTTATAATAACAAAGCGTTGGATGGGAGTACTAAAGGAACTTGAACTCTGCTCCATTATACGATTTAATAAACAGAGTAAGTTGATCTCGACGCTTTGATGTTACAGGCCTTAAATGAGATAACGTTATGTACCTCTGCTAAATGCCATGTTTGTTCACAAAAGTTCGAAATATGTTTTTGCCTTACATAATACTAGCGCTAGCTCCTCTGAAAATTTATAAATATTGAATTGAATTGAAATTGGTTTTATTCGACAAACTTAGAATAACTTTGTGAAAAGATAAAATAAGGTGTTTTTGACACTATAGATGCGACTTTTGTATGCAAAAAACTTAAAAGAACAGGCATTTTTTATCCACGCATCCCTTTTATCGTCACGAATATTTAAAATCCTAATTGGTACTGTTTTCCCACTGTCTGGCATAGGTACCTCACAAGCAACTGTTTTGAAACCGTACTGACCTTATTGAATACATAACACGTGGACTTGTTTTCATGTACGCTAAATACTGATCACGACCTGGAAAAAAAAGTTCTCTTTACATTACATGAATTCTCAAAGTGATGTAGGCAAATTAAAATTATTATCAATTTGTGAAAAACAGTCTTAATGTCAAGCCATTGAAAATGTGCGTATTGTTTAACTAGTAATTCCAAATTGGCCAGAATTTCGACTGACAGTTATTTTAGGTAGGGTCTTGATTTTATCGATTAGCCATATTGGTGTCAGGACAATAACTCACCGAGGAGATCCTTCAAATTCATCTTCATCACTAATTCTAGAAAATATGCCGCAAGTAATTATTGATTTCTGTGCAATTAAGAAACACTTAAGAAATTGGATTATGTGCCATTATTTACACGATTGACTTATTTGATTATATTATTTGATATCTTTCAGGTTGCGCTTTCTACTGTCACGATAGTGCTGCTGTATTGCAGTGCTGAGTCACTAAACCGCAAATACATTTTTTTATGGTGGGTACATTTTTCAGGTTGCCAGAAAAGTTGTTAGAACAATATGTAGAGCTGGTTGCAGAGAACATTGCAAACCTTTTCTTAAAGATCTCTAGCCTTCTATACTAGAGACGCCCAAATGTAATGTAATATAATTTCAAGGTATGCGCACAAAATCTCAAACATTTTTAAATTTTTTGAAATTGCTTTGAGGTTCTTTACAGTGACACCAGCTAGATACCATTTTTTTTATCATACTTTAAAAGATCTAAAATTGGGTTACATATAATTGACCTTATTTAATTTAAGAGCCTATATGGATGTATTCGAATGAAACGCAAAGAAATGTTATTTTTGACCTTTGAGTTTCATGCATGTATTTGCTGTTCGGTTTTGTGGTAAATTCAGTATCGTATGGTATATAGATGGGGGAAATGGTCCCTATGCAATTAAATTATTCAGGTAACCAATTTTTAAAAGAATTCAATACACTAATTACTTTATGCTAGAGACGCCAAGGATATACTCAAAAAATATTATCAAACGTTGAAAAAGGAGATGACTCTAATTTAAGAGTCTATATGATGTGTTTGAATGGAACCCAAATGAATATTATTCTTGTCCTATGGAACTTTTATACACGTTCATGTCATGCTGTCCAGTTTTGTGGGAAATTGCAGTGAGTGCGCTTCGGAGCGTGTCTTATACTGAACACCGAACTGATCTGTAAACGAATTGGTATTTGGGATTAATTGCGCCATTTGTATATTATCGACAACGAAACATCGTTTACATAACTTAATTCGTCGTGAAACTATGCGAAATGAAAATTATGTTACCATAATCATTCCACCCATGTTCGGCTTGTTAATTCCCACGAGATGATCGCGTATTCAAATTTAGAGCCTTATTTTAAATAAAATCGATCATGGTGAAATTGCTTTTATGCAAAAATTACTCATTGATTGGCATTTGTGTGCCTATATCTTTGCAAACAACTGCGCAAATTAAACAGGTGATGGTAACAATGGCACTGTTTACACGTTGCGTGATTGTTTCCTCGATTCGAAAATATACGTTCAAACAATAGTCAAATTTTAGCGCAAGTTGCATATTTCCAGCCACCAATGTAAACTTTACGATTATTATCTACTTCATGGATAATACCATGAAACGTCATTAATTTAATATCCAGTTTTGTTAACTTTACATGTAAATCATATATCGTGGCTTTTATATTAACCGCACATGAAAACAAGAACAGCATAAGAAAATAAAGTTCTATTTATTCAGACATTTATTTAATTTCAACAATGTTTTGTGCTAAAGTTAAAACTAAATACGTTTAAATGACTTAAACTGGCCATAAATTTTATTGCTGGAGAAAATAAAATGTTCCCCAGTTGACACTTGCAATAGGGGAAAGGACAAACTTCTATAGAGGTTCACCCAGCAGTCAAGTGACCCAGAGTAAGAGATAGATCCTTCAGGGCTAGATTCTGGAGTCCAATGAGAAGCCGGCTTTAATCAACGTCCTAGGACAATCATTCAGTCAATCACAGGATAGTTGCTGGTCGTTTAAACTTCAAAAGCGAAATTTATAGAGTTAACAATATTATAGAAAATCTGTAGATGTATATGAGAAGACCCTTTCCATAAAGGAAGAAATACAACTGAAATCAAATAATAAAAGTTTATTGATAGCAAAATATGTGGTATTAAAGTAGAAGCTTAATATTCACATCTAGTATACTTAATTAGCCATATTGCAACTTTGGTATTTGACTTTCCGTCTTCTACCTAATACTATTCCTTCGTTATCGGCAAATATTATGAAAAAAATTAAAAAATTTCAGAATACAAAAAATGACGGTTTAATTCTGAATTCATGTCATAAAAACCGCATGCCAACTCATTTGGGGTTGTCGTTGTGGGGCATTTTGATATTAATCAGATTGATAACAACGATTAGAGCGTAAAATTTGTCTAGGGAATTTATACGAATGTCTGTGTAGTCACAAACGGGCGTGGCCACTACCGTATAATATGTGACGCATGAAGCGGGGATTGTCTCTATAAATCATCCTTTAATTATTCTGTTGCACTTTTGTAGATCACAGACGCAAGTTTAACGATACGATAATTTTGCTTCAATTTTATACTATTCCTTTATTCCAAGACATTCGCAAGAAAACTTCATTTTTATTTTTTTATGTTCATCGTTTCTTTGAAAAAATACAAATATTTGAAACGAAGTAAAGATTAAACGTGATTCTGTATACATGTATAAGATAATAAAAAAATAAAATTTTTATACATTATATTGTTTGATCTTCTAAAGCTGATTTAAATGAATGTCATTTGTTCAAGGCTAACCTTCTAAATACTGCATCCGTTGCTTCTGCATTACTTGTTTTTAATAATGACATAATTCTCACAGTCATCAGTACTTTTCTCAGAACTTCCCGCAGAGGTCTGGTTATTTACAGAAAAGTCCTCCATAATCTAATATCTTTTAATTTAGTGGTCATATTCTATCAATTCCTGCATTTTTTCGTAATCTATCACCTTGATTGATGTACTTTCGATCGATACTTTTATTTAATCCGCTCGATTTGCATATTATTAATAAATTTAGTAAAAATTCTAATCCTAAACATATGAGGCTTTTATGGAGAATGCGGCCAGTTTAGAGGCTTTGTTTTAGAGATACTATAAAATAGACACCTCATTCTATTTTTTCAAAAAACGACTGCCACTGCTTTAAGATGGATTTTTGAAGTTCAACAACAAATTTAAAAATGGCTCCTAATGAAAATACCCTCTCACACCTATCGATATTTATTGCAATTGCAAGTCTAATTAGAATAATACATTCAAAAGTTTTTGCCTGTGCAACATTCATTTCTCTTAAGCTACAGTTGGGATACGTGATGTGGACGCTTTGAATACGAAAGAGCCTTTTTAAGGTGTTTTATGCTGTTTTTGGCCATTAAAATGTCAACTGTAAATGGTCTTTCGCGACACGCTTTAAAAGAATAGTAAGCATTGTGCAATTTAGAACGGTTTTTGTACTTTATTGTTGGAAGGCTAATTGTCCTTGTCAGCCCACTACGTGCTACGAGCTACGTGCTCTGACCAACATTGCTTACGCTGTATTGTAAACAAAGGCAAGGAAAAATTTTATTTAAATTTTCCCATTGTCAACACGTACAAATGCGTGGTAAACGTTTCTTCAGTCTGAACTCGTGAGCGCAGCACTGCTTGCACGTAGGGCACAAACATTACTTTGAAAAGGATTTCGCGTCTCGAGTCCTAGTTGATGTTTTCCGGCTCTCAGAGATTGTTGGCTTTTCTGACTTCCCATCTTTTGTGTTCTCGGCGAGGTAGAGAAACGAACGTTATATAAGAAATATGCGACATATTATTCAGTTTTTGCCTTCAGGAAAGCAACGTTGAGTAGAGTATTTTCAGCCGTGTTTTAGGTAGACGAACCAGAAAATGTTTAGTTTCATATGGAATGCGGACTATTTTGAATGTAGTCGTCAAAATGGCCATGCTGCTAAATGGAGTTGTCGCTTTTTGATTATTTCATGCAGTAGCGACGAGTTACATTATTAATCAAACGGACAGTCCTAGAAAACAAATTAAGGGCCATATTCATATCGTATTCAAGCGCCGATTTCTTCCAAGCACTGGATTACGAGGAACTCGTGCGGTTCAAATAAGACAATTTTAATAACAACAGTAAATACAGTCGCAGTAGTAATTCAAATGACAGTTGAATTTAAACTATTTAAAACTGTAGGCAATTAAGAGACTGACAATAACGACATGAAAAATGGGTAAAGTTTTGTCGAATAAAAAAACTGGTGGATAAAAAGAAATGAATTACTTCTCTCAAAGGTGATGTCTTATTTATTATTGCTACTTAAATACGTCAATAATCAATAAAACTAGTTAGTCTTCAATAATTCATAAGTGATTAAACCTATTTTTTACAAAACTAAATATTTGAAAACGAGAAGGAATATTGTCCAGACATTTGACGAGATTGTAAAAAGAAAGTAATGATGTTAAATAGCAACATTTTACTTTTATTTTATATACTGTGTTCATCTTACTTAATTGATCTAAAATGTTGGGGATAATTAGACCACCCATAAAGTGAATGTTTCCCCTATCTATCGTAAATATTAGAAAACCGGGTTTGTAAAATCAATTTGGCAATTACACTATCTGGTTGTCATTTCAGAAAGTCCAACATTTTCTCTTTGTATCTTTAAGGGTGTACTGGTTAGGGGCAAAAAAGGGTTCATTAGCCTATTCAAATGGAGGGGCGTTAGACACATGTTTCGCGATTTATATTATTAGCATGTTTAGTGATTTCGATTGATTATATTATTTTTCTTTGATGCCTGGATCATATTTTTGCTATTATGCTAAACTTAAACACCTGTATTATTGATCTATGGGAGCTTTGTTTTTTTGATTTTTTATGTTCTTAGGAAAATTTACTTAGTGAACTTATGAAATATTTGTAGTTGAAATTATTTAAGAGAACTGATGTAACAGGCAGTGAAACTGCTGTGAAAACTAAGCCGCTCACACACGAGTGTTTTTGGTACCAGATGTATCGATCAGTGTGAGTGCGTTTTTTGCAGACTCAACAGTCTGAGGTTTTTTGGTTTTGAATTAATAAGAATATCTAAAATGGGAAGAATGCCGTTGTCTTCTAGTGTGATAGTGAAATTGATGTTAGGATGTATGGTGTTTAAGTAATTCAGAGATAAGAAAAACATCATCTACACACCTTTTTTATAGCTTCGGTTTTATGTAGAACTTATCGATGGCCTTTTTCCAAAATGTTTCAAATGATCAAATGTGACTAATTTGTGATATGCATTTTTCGATAAAAAAGAGATGTTGAGATAGGTTTTCGGATTTTATAATATGTCTGACATAATATGAAAATGTGACTGGTCTGTCGTCCAGATTTAACATCATACTTACTGACTTAATATTTTTTTGTTTCCATATCCATAGTAAGTAAAATGGGTTGCAGTCAGTGCAGTTTATAAATAAAGCAGTCATAACCATGTATTGCCTATACTGAGCAAATTATCTAATTCTTTCAAACACTACTGCCAGCAGAATAAATTAAAACTGTTTTAATCGCATAAGCACAAGTGGCGGGAAGGAATTAATTTTTATCACATTTAAAAAAAACACTTAGGTTATACCATACTTTAATTTGCAGTATTAAATTAATAGGGTAATAACCAACTATTAAAAGGAATAAGACGACAAAATAAATATTATAGTTGGCATATTACCTTTCTGGAATGACGTTACATTGGTTTCTAACATCGTATTTCTTATATTATTTATATTTTAGCAATCTAAGCGTATACAGTATACAGTCAATTAAAAATTTTCTGACACCGAACCAGTTTTGGAGGTGCTCGAAAGCGAAACCAGAGTTAGTCCAAAATGATTATATAGATTCACAAAATGAAATTTTCTTGCAAATTTTTCCATTGCTTTAAAGATACTTCATTTATCGCTTTTTCCCCACATGACCTAAACTTCCTATTGTATTTCCTTGTCCCTTTGGTCATATTTCCTCTTACACTCATATCATACCATTTCAATAGTACGAAACTGACAATGGCTTGCTTTGTCCATCACTCAACCTTTTTGGAGGAAGAATTTTCAAAATTTTGTTTATTCGTATTGTCATGATAATCTCCGCTTTATATTTCACTTTGAAGTATTAAATTGGTCCCTTTAATAAATCTTGCGTTTGATTCAGTGTGCATAATATATCGACGCCCTTCGCTAGTTTTTTTAAAACTTGTTATCCTGCCAGCTGTTTTTAAGCGAACCCAAATATCATCAATAAATGCGGTGGTATGAGCATCTTTTCCTAAGTTTTGATTTTTGACATATTGAGAGATATTTATTGTGAATATAAATTGATTATTTCGTCGACGATGTGAGGTAAATCCATTAGGTATTTTCTATTACTTAATTTATTTCAGTTTTTTTAAGGCAATTTGTAATGAATACATCTTTGGCATACATGCAATAGACGATATCTCTTATTTTATTCTATTAATAATCTGAAAATTTTTTTACCTCTTTTTGCTTTTGAGATATTCTGGAGTTTATTATTTATTCCTCTTTTCTTAATATTTATGATTGTTGAACGGCTATGTTGTGTTGCACTTGAAGCTCGTTCAAACCGACATTGACTGTTAGAAAGAAACGATAATGATATTTGTCACTAACCAAAAATGACGTCACTTCAGAAAGGTAATGCGCCAACTATACTTAAAATTTAGTGAACTCAGGTTCCAAAACTTTAATACTATGATATTAATGTACTGGAGATTTTGAGGGTTAACAATTTTAAAAAATAATCAGTAATCATAAATGTGGCAATAGCAATCTGCTTAAATGCTTAGTCTGGCATTTTTGCTGATGGCAGAATTGAGAGCAAACTGCCTCGCAGTACATGTTGGATTTTGGATTATTTGTTTTGCTTTGTTTTCGAAGAAATAACACCGTATTTCTCCAAAGCCATTTTGCTGATTTCAAAAACTAGCTTCGAGCATTCAATCAATTCAAAACAATTTTGTATTGGCCAATGGACAACAATTCTGCTCCATATCGTGGAATTAAAAGTCAGGTCCTTCAAATAAAATAAATAAACATCCGAAGTCCATGAAACTCGATGTTTTTTTATTAAGGCATTTTTATAAAATCCCGAGGCACAGAAATAACGACCAGAATAAAAATCCGATTGTTTGACGATGGCAAAATGCAACGTTCCGAGTTGTTCCCGTGAAACGCACAGTTAAACTTTTCAATATTAATCTTTTTGGACTAAATAAAAGGCTGAAACTGTAATGCTGATTTGGTAGAGATAAAATAACCATTTTAATTTCCGACGCATTTAAAAAGCAATAAACGGAGACCAGAAATTATAAACAAAAATTTATGCCTTACGGGAACCTCAACCGAATAAAATAAAACAATGATTTCAATTAATTTTACAGAGTTTTTATTAAAATTTTAATAACAGACTCTGCATTAAAACAAAGCATCGTAAAACAAAATAGTCGCAGCGGTATTGTCTGACTGCTTGCTGTGGAAGCCGCGCTAGCCGTGTTCGGAGCACTCACTGCAATAAAAAGAGAGAAAAGGTATTAAAATAGAGTAAAAGAAAACTTGTTTATAGTCGGCGATGGAGATTTGGCAAAGCTTTTTCGTTGCTGTTTTAAAATGATCTGTGTGAAAGACTAGGAGCCATAAAAGTAATATTTGGGAAACGGATGTTTTGTAATGGCTTCTGCTTCAAAACTTTTAGAATTCGGCTGGATATACAAGTTCATCGAATTTATTTGGAAGGGAACAAGCCAACTGTGTTGCGATAACAACGTATGGATAATTCATAAAATAAAACTTTCTATAAACTTTTGCATATTTATGTAGGGTATATTATGTAGGGATAATGTTAATTAATTATTACTCTTCCGTGAATATCCAATAAATTGATTTATCGATGCATATTAAATAACAAGCAATTATATTATAATGTGTGTTTAAACATTTTCTCCATCCTCAGTAAATAATAAGCTTTGCAACCTTTACCGTGGATAAACTAAAATTCAAGAAGTCAACGAAATGCATTTCTTTAATCTTAGATTAGAAGACAATTTTTTATAGAAACGTATGGAATGAAGTCGCATTTCTTTTTATTTGCCACCCTAAGCAAGGAGGAAACCTGATTTTTTCCATAACAAGAACGAAGGATCAATATATCTTTTTATTTGAAGACATAAATTTTTAGGTGTAAAAGGGGTTAAAATAAAACTTAAACATTAAAAATTATTTTTTCATATTGGTTTAAAAGAAAATGCAATGTTTGGTTTATCAAAAGATAAACAACTAACTTCTGAGTAAATTGAATCCTAACCAATTTTCAATATTATTTTTTGTCTGTTGGTTACAATTAAAAGTTTTATTTTGTGTATGCTTGGCTTGAACTATTTAAATATGAAATATAACGTGTTTATTGAAGAGTTATTGAAAATTAAATTTTTCAAAAGAATCTGAGTTTATTTCAGCTGATTGGAATATTTCTTCATTATTTGTCTAGTGGGCCTAAATTCCATTATAATGGTGTACGAAAACGCATACAACAAACTTAAATGTTTGAGTTAGGAAATTATAATTGGTTTTTGGTTCATGATTCTTTTCATAAAATAGAACTCAGCAATAATATAATGTTTATTTTATTTAAAGTGTGTATCTATCAGCTTCTACCATTGAAAATAATTTTTAATCTTATTTTTAAATCCAAAGAATACCCAATTGCATGGAATTCGTAAAAGTAGGAAAAGGTCAGAAATTAATAATTATAGATTTGTGGCAATATTTGCACACCAAGCAAAATTTTTGAAACCATTTTGTATAAATGCATCTTTTCTCAAATAACAGAAGTACCACATCGACACCAGCACGGTTTTATGCCGAGAAGACAGACAGAGGCCAATTTAACAAGCTCTTTCCATAAAATAAACAATAAACAAGTAGCCGTTATTCTTAGAGATTTCTTACAAGCGTATGTTGGTGTCTCTATCGATATTCTTAAGGTATGTGCATATTTGCCTCCAATGTCCAGAAATCCGCATTAAAATTTGCACGTCCACAATTTTTATTGATCAGTTTCACAAGTCCGGCAATTTATATTCCCCACAATGTTATTTAATTGACGGTATATCTAAACATTTTGTTTTTCGATTTATTTGGCAATCAGTTAAAGTACATTGACCAGCCAACTCCGGATTCTCGCTTATCGCCAACCGGGACACAACAAACGCAAGATTTTCTATCGGCATTACACCGAAACGGCATAATATATTGCTTTCTTTTCTTTTGAAAATAAAAGAAAGCCTTACAGCCTCCGGTTCAGAATGAAAAAGGAATTTCGTTCGTCATTAAATCGAATGAATGTGGAGCATCATTTTCTCCTAAATGAGTTTTTGAAGAAATCCTCTTGTGGGGTTTGCCTACGTCTGTTTCGTAAACCGCTAAGTAGATTTGCCATTTTTGTGGGAGTTTTTTAAAATATATTTGAAAAAACTGCAACATGAAAATGCACACTTTCTGAAACCCCGATACCTCAGTTTCACACAGCTGCTTTGAATAAATTTCGAAACTACCCAATTTACGTTTCAGATAATAAAATTCATACCTTTCTCTGGCACAGGGTGCCTGACACTTTGTAATTCCAACCCGACTGTTTCGTGGTACACTGAGGATACTTGAGCCACGCATTGCAGGTTTAATTGGCCTTCTTGAAAATGCAGGTCCGATAGCTTCAGCTCCAGTTGCAGGTCGCTATAATCGGTTGGGCGGAGCTTCCTCAGCGCCAAAGGCTCAGTTTGATTAACCTGACAATGGATCGATTTGCAAACTTAATTAAGGATTTACTAAAATTCGAAACAAAAGCTTTTTAACCAAGACATAAATATTATGGATTCATTACTTTGGAACACGGTTAAATTATTCTTCCTAAAAAAGTAACTTTGGGTATTTTAAAACTTATGTGCTCTTTAAAAAATAATTTTTGTTTTGCTGCACAAACAGATTGGAGGAACTTTTTTTTGACTATTTAATATTTTAGGCAAACAGCAGAAGAATGTATTCTCTATGGACGTAAATTATTTTAATTTTGTTTTACATTCAATATCGCAAGCAGCATAATAACATTGTACAATTGGTATTACCTTTACTTATCAATCACAGCCGGCTTGTTGTATAAAGTAACAAAGCCATAGAAGAAGAGGAAAGTTAAGCAAGTTCAATAAAGTTTGAATCAATATAATATTTGATATTTGATTGAATCCATTAGCTCAAAAGAAGAGAGGACATCAAATAAGTTTTTTCCTCATAATGCTTGGAGACCAATACTAGTTCTGGTTCTTTTATTATATCATTATCTATTAAATCTATTATTATATCTATTATATCATATCGTGCAACACTTCTGTAAGAAATCACTTCAAGAATTACCAGTAAATAGCATTTAAATTACATCCAATTTCCACTTATTACCATTCCCATTATTTGTGTTTCAATTAATAAATTAAGGCAGGTAAGTGAAGAAAACCTTTCAAATATTCTATTTATCAATTCTACTCCTTAAAATAAAAAAAATATATAAGTTGCGAGAAATAAATAATACTTTAAAGTACCTAAAAATATAAAAACAAGCAATTTAAACAAATCTTTGGTAAAATTTTACCACAAATTAAAATAATAATATCGTCGAACAGCCAAAATCTAACCTATCCTGAATAGTGGGATCGTCGGAGGACACTTGGTATATCACAAATCCAACAGTGAAAATGTCTGCTAAAATGTAACTTATTTTTCTTTCTTCAGATATATTTCTCTATCTTCAAAACCAGACGTCTTTTTAATCACTAATCATTACCATCACTGATATACTTTATTATACTTCTACTAATTATCGGTAATTATCACTGATGTATGAGGGCGTTGTGTAAAGAAGTCAGGCATCTTGTTCGTTGTTGAAGAAGTAGTAGCTACAGGTTCCAATGCCTGCAGAAGTTTTATGAAAAATTACCTACAAACTATGAAATAAACGACCACTGGTTTATGTTTGTTTTTAATAACTAATTACTAATAAAAAATATTATTAAATCTGTAGTTGAAATATTTCTTGGTTTTTTCTATTTCTTCAACTCCACCAGAAATTTAAAAGAAATTAAAAAAAAACATGCAACAACGCATAGCTGCAAATTCGAGAGTCAAAAAATAGAAAAAAGTGCATATAAACTTAGGTTCAGACATGCTTGAGATACGGGGTGTTACATATTAAAAAAAAATGGTTTGAGCGAAAATTCTTAGGCCGTAAGTTTAGGATAATACTCAGGAGTCAAAAAAGTTGTAGGTTTAGTGGCTTGTTCAAAGTAAATAAAAATACATTTCTTTGGAAGTACTATTCGTTAGAATACCTTCCGTGAGTACACTGGATTGAAGGAAAAGCCTTTTATCATTAAAAATGACTCAATTAAATCGGACAACAAATATTAATTATATCATAAAAGAGCCATTACAATATAATTGACATCCCATATCTTGAAAATTAAGCATTTTCGGAGCGTTGACTAATAATAATATAATGGTAATTGATAATTAAAAAAATTGTTTAACATGACCAAAAGCAACAATTTTTTTAAACTGCGAAACGACGGAAAATAGGATCGTAGAAAATATTTTAATCGATGGTGCCGACAAAGGATTTTAACTTACCGTAATTCCATTTAGTATCAAAGTTAAGTCGGCCGGAGGTCTGGACCGATACGACGAACAGTTGGCTCGTAAAATATCGCCGTAATCGAAGGGCTCTCCCCTTACGCTTATTTCTGGTGGATGCTCGGGCAATTCTGTAAATCGAATGATTAATTAGTTTAAGATATTCGAAAAGGACCCTTCGCACGAAATTTACGTTCCCAATTATTGTACCTTTCTTTTCGTTATGTACTTCTGGATATCTGCAAAAGCGGTAGGTCTAAAATCCGAATTAATCCTTTCGTCCTCTTTCCCGTTGAAAATTCATAAAATTCCGTCAGAACGAAATGTATATTATAATTACGCAAACCGAGACAAAACTGGGCGCTTGACACAGAAATAACAAGACTTTCATTTTAAAGGGAGTTTATTTACAAAAGACGTACAATTATGGAGTTATTTTTACTGTCGGCGAAGTTTATTTCGTCAACCGGACATAACTCACATCGCTTTATTAAGATTCTCCAAATTTTCGACGGCTGGATCCCTAAATAAAAATTCATATTGGAAGTTATACCATAATATAGGCCCAATTTGTAGAGGCGAATGAATATATATATATATATATATATATATATATATATATATATATATATATATATATATATATATATATATATATATATATATATATATATATATATATATATATATATATATATATATATATATATATATATATATATATATATATATATATATATATATATATATATATATATATATATATATTCTCACGTATTGATTCACGGATGGAAAAATATGATGACACTATATTCCGGGATATCATCCGTTCGCTCGTTGAACTCCGACTGGAATCCTGCATCCGACTGGAATCCTGCAGACGTTTCGCCAAAATCTCCGCTCCGAAAACACTTCGAGTGTTACATATACATATATATATATATATATATATATATATATATATATATATATATATATATATATATATATATATATATATATATATATATATATATATATATATATATATATATATATATATATATATATATATATATATATATATATATATATATATATATATATATATATATATATATATATATATATATATATATATAATTATTATTAAAAGCAGAAATTTGGTTCGTAGTGCTCATCAATTTTCTATGACGACAACATAGGAGAAAACAAACGCCATCCTATCGATTTCAAAAAGTCCCAATTTTGTCTTCACGAAGCATCTTGAGTTGTCACATCCCGTTTGATAATGCCTCGTTAAATTAATTTTAAAAGAAGGACAACCACTTCAAAGGTTTTAACTTACTACCCCGAATAACCGGATAATCCGTCGAAGCAAAGAGGCCGAAACTGAGCCTCACTCGAAAGACGTTTCAAGCCAAACAGACGAAGGCACTGCAAAAATAATTCAAAGAGCTCAAAATGCCACTTCATTATCGGGGTGTATACGTTACGCCCGACATCAATTTCGACAAAATAAACATTGTCAGCGCTTTGTGTGTTTTGCGGTTGGCGCGAACACACTGCGATATTTTAAATTCGGACTGTATTTTCTTTACCGTATTTGAAGACCGTTCGTTTGATAAACGACCGGGATTTGCACTTATCGCAAGCTCAAAATTCATTTTTGTAGCTTCACTTCGATGGAACACTCGTGAAACTGAAATAACTTTTTTTTGTTTTTCAGGGGTTTTAATAGCATTTTATATGTTATCAAACTGAAAACCCTAGCGTCCCAAAATATCAAAGTTAAAGGTCCTGGATACAATGCCTGATCATCAACTTTTAATTTCCACTACGTACAGAAGACATCATCGGAACTCTCGAAATGTTTTAACATATGTTTTAAACAACATGATATCCAGGAGTGCCAGTCGCAGAGTCGAATTATTATGCATTTTTAAATCAATTAACACTTTTCTGACTTGTTTAATCAAATTAAGGCTCTCGGCCATAGACGTATCAGCCCTAAAAGGTTTAGGCACGGGTTAGAAGTCGAAAGATTACACTTCCTCCAGATGATGGAACACTAGAAGAAGAAGACCTTTCGCAAGAAAGAAATACTTACAATTAACAGAGTCTGACTTTCTCACTAGTATTAACCTATAATCAAGGGTATTTGTGGTCGAAACAACGGGTACTTTTATTACTGTCACTTGAGTCAAAGATCTTGAAAAATACTCTACCCATACTCTTGATTCATGTGACCAAAATCTTGTATTCTGCAATCAGAACCCATAAATGAATTTGCTCGAAAAGATTTTTGATGTCTTAACTTCATAGAAATGATCTCGAAAGGATCCATCTAGTTATTTAGTTTAAATCTACTCGGTTTATTACTTGCGATTCTCAACAATCCAACAACAACTTTCCTCACTGCGAATTCGGAACGAAGTAATTGAAAACAAATATCAACGCCAAAGTTAAATTCACTCTTAAAATTCAAGACGTTTGAACCTCGAACCGTTGACAACCGACTGCTGAAACTTCTTCGGATTTATTCTTTTCTCTTTAGAGAAGCTTTGTTAAACAGTAATAAAAGTTAGTTAGACTGCAGGTTTAAGTTTTCTGAAAGATTAATGACCCATTTTGCACAGTGGATTCCCTTATTAAGAATTAGAGAAACTCGTTAAAATTTTGGGTACGGACAGTTTCACTGCTGGCAGTTATTCTGCCATTGTTTAAATTTAAGGATTGTTTTTTTTTTCGGTGAATTGTAATTAAAATCTTTGTGTCTCAGTGCGCTACTAAAAGAAAATGAGTTTGACCGTAGGAAACGGCGGAAATTTTACGCAAATTTTATTCTACGTCCCGCAAATTTATTACTTTGAGTTTTAAAAACTTTAATAGAAAGCTATACAGTTCATAAATACTTTCAGTGATGTTTTTAATGTAAGAAAGGACAACAGTGCTTTCGGCCTCATTGCTATTGATAAGTTGTGGTGAAGTGTAATATCTTTAATGTAGAAATTATTGTATGTAATCAATCTGAGAGTCTATAGAAATCTATAAGCAACCTAACAATCTTAACCGCGACTGAGGTCTTTACCTGTCACCAATATGGGAAACAGTCATCCGAGATGGTGTTTATGCCTCTCATTTAGCTCCCCGCCCCCCAATTTATATATAAGCAGATGCAGAGTAAAATGCGTGCTAGTTTCAGTCAAGCTCTGAAGAAGCCAACAGGATGATTGGCGAAACGTTAGCAATTTCGACTCAACAAAAACCGACTCAGGAGGAATCCAGAAGTCTTGTAAAAAGTAAAACAATTAATCTAATTTCAAATAGGCACTTTCCTTAATTTTTTATTTTAGGATTATAAACCGAAGCACAAATACCAGAAAGGATGCATACAATATGAATCGAGGCAGTTAAACTTGCATCAAAGTCTGGACCCCAAAATTAACAATCGAAGTTTTACTTACGCACGACTACCATCGATTTGCAGTTGTTCAACGCGTGAATGTGCGAATCCTCGGTCGTAACTTCGCAGCAGAATTCGCCGGAAACGACGAAGTCGATGTCGTTGAGCGTCACTTGCGTGGAATCAGAACGATCTACCTGAAAATAAGCATGGATTTACAAAACTAAACTAAAGATTAAATGTCTCTAGAGATCCCTATTCGGATAAGAATATTTGGGGTTTGGGTGTTCTAAGTGTCACTTTGAAGATGGTCGGCACTTAACCCTTTTGTTCATATAAATTTTAATTGTAAATTAAAAGAATCTGTACTTGATATCTGTTTTGCTTTATTAGGCTGCTGAAATGGAATGAAAATAAAACTTGAAATCCTTTGATGACTTATTGTCTCGTCTGTTATAACAATATTGTTGTGAATGCAGGTTGGTGCAGTGTTTGATTAGTTGACCAATTACCTGGATATACTGCCTACACCCGAGAAGGCTTTTATTTAGTACTAGTTGGTGAAGCTGGTTCCATTTCTTACTTTTAAATTTGAAAAACACCAACTACGATTATTCGTTTTCGAGGGACTTTAGCAATCAAGATGGTTCTCCAGAAATATCTAGATATGTAGTTGTTGTGTAGCGAACCATTGAATACAAATTTAATTTGGTGTTGGCCAGCTAATATAAATATCACAGGCCAAAAATATTTTGGTGCCTGCGATTTTTCAATTGTCTCTTGCCAGTTAAACATTTTCTTTTATGGGACTTTCTAGAATGGTGTTTACTAGAGCAGTCTCGCTGAAGGCTGGATCAGTAGTCCGTGGTTTTAATATTCTAATATAATTTTTCATTCTCTGTCTTTCACTGCAATCACCTAAGTTTTCTGTAAGGCGATCTAGATGGTTTTCAATGTAGTGAACTTTTATACTCATATTACAACCTATAATACTAAAATTTGCCTTTAATTTTTTAATTTAAAGCTTTCACAAGTTGCTTCATCTGTCCCACCTTGATATGCAAAGGCAAAAGTAATATTTTTTAATTGAAAATCAAAGATTACTTGATCAGATTTTGTTTTCCAATTTTTGTTAACCCACTGCTCATTTTTAGCTCTGCTGTCGCAAGAGCACCAAGAACAAGGACTGTTTGTTTAGCCACTCGGCTGTCCAGGGAGCAAGTTTACCATTTCGAAATTAACGCAAATTGTCCATTGATGGTTTATCATACTTATTCTTTTTCAAAACTGAAAGGACTAGTAAACTTTATAGATAAAGTTTGGATCAGGAACAATTCCAGGTATATATTTCTAGTTTGATCATTTAGTGTATATTTGTCTCTTAATTTTTGTCGCTTTTCAGAACTAATATTAATAGACCTGTATCTGATGATGAGGAAAATTGTCTGCAAGTAAAAAAGGAAAGTTATGTGTGGATGTTTCAATTTTTTCTTGACTGAAATTTATAATTGGAGGTCAGTATACAGATTTACATTTATACAGATATCTCTTTCGCAATCTTATACGGACTGGTTTTATAATGATTTATCACTTTCTTATGGATTGCTCACATCCCGTAAGAACCAAGCCTGGTAGCATAATTAAATATCACTAGTTGTAAATTTGGTAAAAATAGTAATATTAGTTTGAGACCTTATGATAACTGCGACGTGAAAAGTTTATTGGTATATTCCGTTTAACGGAAGTTTAGATGTTTTTTGGTCCGCATACATCATTTGTGGTATTTTTTGAAAGCTGGCTAATTTTTTACTTCGACATAAAAAATATTATACAGAGGATTCCATTCTAAATAATTGAATTTCCATAGAATATGCAAAACTCTGTCTCTATATCTGCGTGAGCATTCGATTTTGATTTTTCAATAGGGTTTTTAGTTTTATATCTTCTATATCTATCTATCTATATCTTTATCTCTATATCTTCCTATCAGCTAAAACCTATAAATTATATCAAAATAATTGTTGTGAGAATTGGAGTGGATTAAAATGCTCCAATGCCAAGGGTTCTGTTTATAAGAAGATTTTGATGAGAATTATTGAGACTGGTATGGTATATTAGTAGAATCTTAAATGTTAAAATTTGTAGTAATTGCAGTTTTCTGATAACAGATCGACGAAGTTCCTGGTAGGACTGATTAGCTGCGTATATTTCATAATTTAGTTGATATAAAAGTCAAATCGATTTGAGTTCACTTTTATGATATTCCTACTGTAGAGGCAGTGTTTGATGTGGTGACCATCCTAAGCCGGTTTTGAATTTTGTGTCACGCTGAAATTTTAAATTTCATAGTGCTAAATTCACAAAGTTTTCTTTTACATAATTTCTAGATCTAGCGGACTCCGTCTTGAAACGCGTTATCAGTCTAGAACTCAATCTAATTTGAGAGCTCCATTCCGTTTTGTTATTGTCGAAACCGCTAACCCCACACAGAAAATCCACTTATCATTTCACGACGAACACTTGCAAGAAAATTAAATTTTAAAACAATTCCTACCGTCGAAAATTTGCATAATAAAGTGTCGTTAACATCTTACCGGTACGTCGAAATGACTTTCAGACTCAACGAAGTTACGTTAACGCTATTAATAAAAGCGGGGAGGTACATGTCTCTGTTGGCGAAAGTCTTGTCGACTAAATAGGGTGGAAACGGTTTATAGGATGCTTATCCTTGTGCTAGATATTTTTATAGGAACTGTTGATATCTTCAGTCCAGAAGGTGTAACTAGCCTATTCGCTATAAAACTTAGCTAGTGCTAGTGCCTTTCCATATCCGTTTTAGGTCTATAACCATAAAAAACGTTTTTCTTTAATCACGACCGCTCATTGATTTATACAGAAATGCACATGACGTTTTTTTGATTAAACGCTTCTTATTATCTTGTAAACAGAAAACAGAAGGTAAAATATGTAAGTTATTCAAAATTAGTGATATAATGTCAAATAGAGCAGAAAAAGAACCTGCTTATATCCTGCAAAATGTTTTTCTTCAGAATATTCATATTCGAACTTTTGGCGCTCTCCTGAACCATATAGTCATAGTAGAAAGTTGAAGATCGTTCAGATGAACATTACAATATATACGATATTCATAAAAAGGTGTTCAAGCGTACACAAAAATGTTGGGAGATGGGCGATAAGGATTTTGAACATCCAATGTAAATTTTTTGTCATTATTTTCTATTTAAAAATGATAAGAGCGGTATGATCTGATAACAACCATCAATATCAGTATCGATGTTGGTCAGTGCATCACACTTTAATTACTTAGCATAGTTTTGTGAATATTGGTAGGACTTTTACTCATGCCTAATTTTGTAGTTTTACCATAATATACTAGCATGGCAAAATAATTTTTTTGATTTGGCAAACTAGCAAAATGACAAAAACTTAAACAACTTAAAGGAAAAAGCGGCACTTTCCCTCTTACTGACGTTTACTGTAGAACTGATGTTTGTTTCATTCTATTTCTGTTTCATACTTACGTCTATAGTGACTCCCTTAAAAGGAAATGCTTGTTTCCTTTTATCCCTCTCCTTTTCCGACGGTGTGTATCTATAAAATTCGAGACTTCCTCTATACCATTTAACAGTATACAACGCATCCCCTTCAAGGTCGTATGTACAACGTAGTTTAGATGTGTTTCGATATTGTACCACGCTTGGCTCAATCGAAAGAGTCACATTTTTCAAGCTGAAGACACCTGTAAAAGAACATTTTCTAACTAACTTAACTAAAGAAACGGACAAAAGCAACTCTAAATTGTTTGTCTGATACACCAGAGTTTCTCTACATATGAATTGTTCTATGTATATTTCATGTGGTCAAGAACGGGGAGCGCTCAAAAATTTTAACGAGAACAGAGTCTCACAGAACAACTTTCTTCTACAATGAAAATAATATTTCTATAGCAGAGTTGAATAGTGAACCACCATTCAACTTTAAAATATAGTAAAACTTAAAATAAGCAAGTTTAAATTAATTACCTTTCTATGGCGGATGTCCTTTGTAACAATAATAAATAATGGTTCGATTACAACAATTGGTTATGAAGATCGCCTTAATCAGATTGCCTTTTAGGGAGCAACCAGAATTAGTCCTTTAGATCTATAATTGCAAGCAATATATAAGCAAACTTAAAACACATACTCATTTTATAATGCAATTTCAACCTAAAAAAGCTCCCTAAAACAATGAAGAACCTCCAAGTTCGACCCGTACAATAACATCGAACAGCAAATCCACTCAGATTATATCTTATCCAGAAATTACTTAATGGAGAAGAGAAAAGACAAACAAAGACAAAGAGCAGGAAATAACGACTATTAGCTAGCGATAATTACTCGCTTAATAATAAAAGTTTCTTTAAAACTGTTAGGATGCAGATCATCTTTTAGTAAAGTTTGTATGTCATTATAAAGTTTATATATAATAAATGAAAACCCTCTTTTGGCGAAGTTCAGTTTGAGGCGATGGAGAGTTAAGCCTTTAATTTAACGCATGAAAATCTGTTCCATAACTTTCTTGATAAAATACCGAAAACACTTATAAAAGGTAATTTTATTTATTATTTAGACAATATTATACAAGGTGGCATACAAATAGTTTAAATTCAACCGCCGAATTTCAAAGGGATTTGCTTTAGAAGATTTTGAGGTTTCAACTGTAAACACAATATTCTCCCTTACTTCACGAAATTCACCACAACCTGATTAGACACATTCACATCGATTTGGTCAAGGGCTCGTTGACTTTCATGCCCATAAAAAAGGTCACGTGGAGTCAAGTCATATGATCCATCGATGATCGCAACGAGATAAATTGGTCGGAAATCTCCCACGCGTAACCAAAAATTCTTAATCTATTTCTTCCGTCTCTCTACTCCAAATCCCATACTAAACCGTCCAACTCTTCGAGGATGCATTTCTTGTACTTGCAGTAGCAAGAAGTAAGAAGTTTGATATTAAAATGCGCTTTATCACTGTAAATTATGTGCTGACGAAAACCGATGATCTCTTGTTCGATATCAAAATCCATTCACAAAACTGCATTGACCGTTAACACAATGCTGCTAACAATTAACAACAAAAAACGGCCCTTTCAAATTGGAAGTTCAGTTTGAATAAAGAGAATTAGTTTGATTTTGAAATTTAGGCCAAAGAAATTAATTTTTGTTTAGTTTCAAGTTTGTTTGAATAAATTATATTTAAAAAAGATGCTGTGATCAAACTGAATAATTCTGTAAATCAGCACTATCAAAAAGAAAAAGAATTACATTCGTCGATCAAAATTTTCCTGGAAATGTTTTAATTCGGATATTCATATGGGAAAAATGGTAAATGTTTAAAAAACGTAAAATCATTTCCCACAGTTTTTGTTTTTTCTCTCCGTTGGTCGGAAACCTGGGGGCCAAGAAAGTAAGAGCACGTAGGACTAGAAACATTTCAATGGTATACCTTTGGACTACATTAGGATATCGCCAGTAATGAAAGGTACAACCAAGTGTAGTTAGATAGAGGGAGTTTTTGTATTCAATAATGCCTTGCGGAGCAAACACCAAAAAAATACGACTGTGGACTGCAGAAAACTAAGGCTGAATTCTATGTGACGTGTGATCCCACCTCAGATCTCAGTTTAGATAACGCCGAAATAGCAATTTAGGATGAACGTAAACCGTATCTTTATCGATATCACCATATCAACGCAGAAGGAAAAAAGTTTATCGGAATCAATTTCCGTGGCCATTTTAACTCCATTCCATGTCTTTAAACTTTTCGTTAATGATTCGTGGAATTAAATTTAGTTCGGTTGAGCGGGGTCGTGTCTCAGATACAAATTAAAGGTAAGGTTAAATAAAATTTAATTTTCATTTAACGTGATATATGTGCTCGAAGTCCAACGCGGAGTGGACTTTTAATTACTTTATGATATCGATTCCGTTTAATTAGAGGAACTCGGAATTTGTGGCCCCCAAAATGGGAAAAATAATCGGGAGGTGCTGCGTTATCAAATTTAGCATTTCTGTTTAGTACAAAAGTATTAATTATAATTTATATAGAACTTTAACCACCGAATATTAACAAAGGCAATAAAGTTGTCTTTTCAGTGGCACTTGCGATACCTGGTAAAAACAAGCAATGGGTCGTATGCTAGATAAGGAGAACTGGGATTAGGATTTACGACCTTCACGTTTTCGCGAACTATTTAATCTAATGAGACCAATGAGGTTTTTTCATTATAGTAGATCAATTTATTTTCAAGAAATATTAAACAAGGACTATGCCATTGACAAAATTGAATCGTATATCAATTAAATATATTTTTGAACATTAGGCTTCAATTATCGGCGAAATGTGTCTTAGAATTATAAATAGGTCATTGGATTTTCCACGTAATGTGGAATAGAAAGGATATTTTTACGTAATGCAGTATCAATTGTCTAGTTCTAGGCAACTATACTTTGGTTTCTTGTTTTTGTGTCATTAGTAATACTGAGACCACTATTACTATGAGACCATTTATAACCGATGGAAATTAATAATCGATTTTGCAACCGGAAATTTGTTTAAAACATTTTCATCTGCGAAAGCCAAATTAATTGTAGACCACACCGCAAAAACAATGTTTACAACAGCCCATATAGTTAAGTATTGATATGAATATAATCAAACGTGGAACACAAAGAGAGACAAGGTTAATTGAAATAACTTATAATATTCATTTCCCACTTCCTGGCCAAGTTGTGTGGTGACTGGGGGTAGATTCGTAATAGGATTTTAACCTAATTTCGTCTCTAAGGCGGTTTCCTCTTTATATGTTGCTTTTATCATTGTTATTGTAGTAATTATTGAAACACTAGAAGGGGGTTCTGACGCGTAGCAATCCCACAAACTGCCTTGGTCGTGCAGACAAGCAGTCTTTCTAAGAAATAAAAATCATGTGGAACATTAGAAAGAATTTTTATGCAATGTTTTGCACATATGCCAGAGTCTAATATCTGCTTAATATGGCTCCTACTTAATCTAATGAATTTTAAGGGATCGAGCAATTGAGGACTTGTCAACGTCCATAGACTTTTATAATATCTACGAAAAGTAAATGTTTGTTGCATCTCTTTTTTATTTATGATTGATCACTTCGAAAACCTGACTTCTATATTATGTGGAGAGTATTCTCAACTATATTGCGAAGAACTAATCCATATCGTCTTCTCATTTTGCTTGTGATCGATATGCATCTATAGTTGAAGCAGTCACCTCCCTTTCCCTTTTTATTGACTGGTGTTATTCATGCTTATTTTCATGTGACTGGGATTGGTTCGACGACTACATATCGTATCATCAGCTCATTCAGGAATGTAGTTAATTTACGAGCACCAGTTTTTAGCAGTTCTGCCAGTACTCTTTCTGGCCGGGGTATTTCTGTATATCCTATTAATCGTGTCGATCAGGAAGATTATGCAGGTTAACCAAACAATTATTGTGCGGGAACAGCGAAGGTAGCTTCTATGACATAGCCATGTTGAACGAATGGGAGATGGGTGATTACCAAAAATATTGAAGTAATGATATTTAGATTCAAATTAGAAAGTGGAGATGTATGGATTTGACTAAACGCCTAGAATTATTTATTTACTTGGGTAATATATAACAACGGGTGTCTTGACTTTTGAAACCTACTCCACGTTACTCGTAGGCGCAAACCCTACTGAGCAGAGGTACAGGTGGAGTCGGCAGTCCTAAGGACAAGCCTGCTGACTAATTGTTTGTTCGGCAAAGCACGATCTAGTTTATTTAAAAGTATTTAATGATCTTAATCTACATCGAGTGCTTTTAAGACTAATCCTAACTGTCACAGATTTCCTTCTTCAATCATCGTTTATCAGCAAAGTGTCTCTTTGTGAAACACTTGGATGCATTTGTTTGGATAATGAACTGAAATGAACATGGTGCATACAAAAGCCATTGTAATTCATTAAAATTTATTTGTTATCTTAAAACGGTTATTAAGAAATCTGTAAGTCGCAAGCAAAATATTAATCTCACTCATTAAATAATTAGTTTAGTTAGTACCAGCGTCAATTTATTTTTAATTTCGTAACAGATTGATATAAATTAAAGTTGTAGAAATTTCAATATGCCGTTGAACGTAGCTTTCAAAATGCAATAAAGAGCCAAAGCGATTGTATTTTTCTGCTTTGTAGATTGCATCCGGTAAATCGTAATTACAGGAAATTTAATCACTTCAATTTCGCTACGCGTTTTTTACAATAGACTTGAGGAAAATTAAAATGTTGACTCATTTATTCATAGAGATGTGTATTTCTAAAATCACCTATACAGGCCGAGTACTTTCGTGACGCGTTAGTGTCTGTTTCACAACGGATACGAACGCTTTCTAGTGCAATAAAACATTCTTTTTCATAGCATAACGAGATACTTACGTGCTAACGAACCCTCTCAAACCTTGCTACTTAAAAATGTCTCGTTTTCATGGTTGTCATGTCGTTACAAGCGTAAAATATTGGTGCTTATCCTGTTAGAAGCACCCTGACCGAAATAAAACAACCGCAAGAAATTGTTCTATTTATTTTTTCCTTTTCTTTGGCTTATTAGCTTTTTACATTTGAGTAATGGTTTGAAATCCATGATATCTTAAACAATTTTCAATGTGTTTTCAACAGGTATTTTAACCAATATTATT